ATGTCCCCTTTGGTAGTGTCACATTCTTCACTCTAACAATGTCTCCCCTCTTGTAAAAGCATGTTCTCCATCATCTATATCAAAGAATTAAGAAATAGAGTGTACAATAAAATAGAACCTCAGAGAACCATACTAGCAAGTAGCAATAACAAGCATACTCACAAACAATTAACTTTAAAAGCCTACCCAGTATGGCATATAAATCATGCCTTCCTCTGCAATGAACTCCAAAACCCCACAATGAGAAACTCTCTCAGCAGCATCATTCCGAAGCTCAAACAACATTGGATAATCAATATGCAAAGATGCTGCAAGATAAATTAAACATCAGTCCCATTTCCATATCAATGAGACAGCCCAAGAAAAACCAAAAGAAGAGATGTGCAGACACCATATGACAAAATAGAACAAGATCAAATTGAAACAACAAACCTAGACGGTCAAGGCTGAAGGAGGCATGATAACTGGTGCACAAAAAGAAATAAATTGACCTTAGCAGGAAGGAAAACAATAAGATAATCCAAAAACTAGAACTTCCATTAACATAGAAACTTACTTTTATCACCACTCTCAATCTGGGGCTGCAGGATTAATGAAGATAAAATGAAAGTAATTAGCCTCTACTTTATTCAAGTAATACTAGGTTTTACGAAAACTGCAACTTTTTACATATTAGATATTATATATTAATAATTACATTCACAAGTTAATATTGTCAGTCTTTTCTTTTCTTTTTTTCCTTGTTCAAATATCATCTATTGTTTTTCAACCTTCCACTTTTTAAATTCACTTCCAAGTCTTTGCTTCTGACCACATTGTTTAGTGCTATGCACGAATGAGAGGGAATGGTTTTGAGTTTTATATCGAGATGTCTTTGGGCTTGCATGATGATTGCACCTACCACTTTATTTCTCTGTATTAAATCTAAACTTATGTTCCCAAGAACACTAAACCTTTGACATCTACCCAAAAGGTAAATGCTCCAATTTGTGAAGTATTTTTCTATTCAAGCCCACCACCAATCAAAGTGAAGTCTGATTTAAGCTCATCAGAAGCAATATACTCAGCACACATTTGACACCGCCAAATTGAAGTCAAGAACTCAAGAAATAACAACTGATTGAATACCAAGATTACAAAATGGAGTAACACTAACCTTTTCGATGAAAGATGCAGGGTAACATCGATAAGTCTGCTCAAAAGACGTTCCATGATAACCATATCCCTCGAAAAACTGTGGAAATACAAGTTTACAAGCAGTGAATGAGACTAACTGGAAATGTTAAAACAGATAATAGTACTTGTTGAGTAAGATTTTACAAGGAAAGAATGCCTGATAAATAATATGGAAGCAATTGATATAAAAAAGTTATGGAATACAATGATCCAAATATGCAATGAGGTAAATCACTTCTCTGAAACGAAAGACCATTATACCATCTTTAATTATATAGAGAAAATTTCACAGCAGTTGATCTAGTGTCCAAGCTCCCTGAAAGAGGAAATGACCACGCGGTTCAAGTAACAAGGATAGCCAACAAAAAATTGACAAACCAGTTATATGAATGTGGCTTAGCAGAAGCTAACAGATAAACAGTACCGAAGGGCAACAAAAAGGTCTCGAACTTATACAGAAAGGAAATAGTTAAATGAACTTATTTATGCTAATAAGTAATCTTCACGAAATTTCTAAACCCGAACCAATGAAATCCAAACTGAGAGGAAACCTGATGCCCATAACTACTACAAGAATGCGACAAAAGTGATCTGCTAACAACACGAATCATTCAGTTATTTGGAAGGAAGAGATAGGAATCAAGAACACGCACTTTTACAGTCCACTAATGCGTTATTTCCGCTGCTAAAATCAAGGAGAGGCAACACCCACAAAAGAACTGACCAGGCTTTAAAAAAAAATAAATAAACTTTGAAATTAAGTCGGGGGTCCTCTGCTCTCTAGACAACAACCCCGTGACAAATGGCGCATAACGTCGAAACTATGGGGAACTAATACAATCAAAAATCAGACATAAAACAGAATAACAGGAACCATAACATTACCCCAAATTTGGAATTTGGAGGGGGAAGAAAGCACAGGGGAAGTTGTGATGTTTGATCTAAAAATAGACTGGGAATTGGATTGCGTCTCTTAAATGCAGCACCGTAGAAACCTGCAACGGAGAGGCAGATAGCCGAAACAGCAAGAAAACAATAAATTGGGCCTCAACAAATTGGGCCTCTCTACGGACTTGGCTTTGCTCCCCCGACACTTTTTTCGGAGGAGGCTCCGCTCTATCTCAACCAAAATTTGAATTGTTTTATTAACCAAAAAAAAAAATTGAATTGTTTAAATTTAATATTTTATTTTTTTAATTTTATTAAAAATAAAAAATTATAAAAATTGTAAAAAATTTAGTAAATTTTGTTTTCAATTTGATAGTCTAAATTTAATATTAATGATCTAAATTTAATATTTAATTTTTATAATTTTTTTGAATTGGATTGTTTAAATGTATAGTTTGATATAAAATATTTAATTTGTAATTTTTAAATATTTTTCAAAAATTTTTTTAACATATATTTTTCATTTTTTATAGAATATTTGGGTAGTCAATTTATAAAAAAATTAATATTAAATATGAACTATTTATATTAAATCTACATTGTTTAGAGTATATCTATTTAGATAATTAATTTATAAAAATTTAAATATTAAATTTGGACCATTAATATTAAGTCTAGACTGTTCAAATTGATGAGCAAATTTATTAAAATTTTTGGATAATTTTTAAAAATTTTATTTTAATAAAAATAAAAAATAAAATATTAAATTTAAATTATCCAAATAAAATCCAGACGATTCAAATCTTAGTTGAGTTTGGGTGCAGCGGAGCCTTCTCTAAGAAAAGTATCAAAGGAGCAAAGCCAAGTCTCCTCTTTACCCACGTGTTTGGTTTCAAAGCTATGAGCAATTTAAAAAAATCTAGATAATCTAGATTTTAAGATTTTATTCTTGAATTTTATTTTATATTTATTATAAAAAATTATAAAATTTTAATAAAGTATCTTATTATCAATTTAAAAAATACAGATTTAATTTGGATAGCTCACTTTAACATTAATTTTTTTATAATTTTTATACATTGACTATTTAAATATAATGTGAACAGTTTGAATTTAAAATTTTTAAATTGTAACTTTTTCTTAATTTTTTAAGTACCAGCTTAAAGATTATCTTTATTTTTATTTTTTAATATTAAATTTAGTAAAATAAATTTTAAAAAATTCTACAAAAGTTTATTATTAAATCCAGAGATCAAATGGTCTAAAATATATCTGGATAGTTAATTTATAAAAAATATAAAAATTAATATTAAACTTGATCATCTAAATTAATGATAAGATTGATTTATTAAAATCTTATAATTTTTTATAATAAATATAAAATAAAATCTTCACATATAGATAGTCCAGATTGCTTGTCATATAATGAGCACCAAAATCAGACTCTTTACATACACACACATCAAAATGAGGATGCAAAATACTACCCCCAAAAATATAAAAAGAGTGAGGAGGCAAAATTTGTCAGCACATGAACGCTAGCAAGGATGATGAACAAGGCTGGGAAGGAAGACGACATGGTTGTGAAGGGGATAATGATGAGGAAAATGTTGATATGGATAATGACATTGCTGGTGACTGGAATGATGACTAGGACAGTTTTGATGATATGTCATGTAACATGGATGCAAAATAGATGATGACTCGGGCAAATAGTTGAAATCAAAGATGACATAGCAAGTGATGCAGATGATGACATGGTGGACTATATGGAAACTGGTTGGAATGATGACTATAAAATTATGGTGATATTGATGACATGGTGATGAATAAGGTGACTGACAATGATAATGAGGCTAACTTGGAGAATGACATAGGTGTCGAATGGATGATGACTAGGACAATGATGGTGACATGCACAATGTCATGTCAAAGATGTCGATTAGGATAACTGTGATTATGTGGACGAAGAAAATGATTATGAAAGGTTTATTTTTTTAATGGAAAGATTTAAAAAAATTATTTGAACTTGAAGCATTAAAAACATTGATTGTCTTATATAAATATCATATTTATTAATTCATTTTGATGTTGACATATAATTCATCACAAACATGAGACATTTTTAATCAAATGAATTTATCTTTATCTGAAGCCATCTCTGTTTTTTTTCCCTCCCCCCTTTTGGCCATTATGATGCTATCAATTAAATTTACTCAATCACGAATATCTTCCAGGTTTAACCGAATTTAAGAATGAAGTTCAAGTTTGTTTTAATCTAGTTTTCCACATTGATAATCCTCATTAATCTGTTTTTACTATGAAGTTTAAATTTATTAGACCTGCGAAGTAACGGATTGGCAAGTATTTTAAAGAAAAGTTTAAACTCAACGTTGAAAATTCATTAGTTGAAGTTTAAATAACTACAGCATAAATCAGAAAAATATATAAATGAAGCTAATCAATCATGATATGCTTGCTTCGACTATTACTTTTGATCCCTATCTATTTCCAAACTTCATTTTTCTTCATTGCATCTCTCCATTATAATTCTGAACAATTCCGAACTGTTCAAAACAAATTTAACGGTATATCATTGCAAGGAAAAATCATACAGCAGTGCTTCCAGAGATCAATGGAGCTTAAGCAATCAGTGGCTACATTGTTTTATTAAATTCCTTGATTCCCACCTGCATAAGGGAAATCTTATAATTTGTTCAAAATTTCATAGAAGTCAGTCTCAACAATTGTACATAAACTAGCAATGGAACGGCCGATGTAATTCCATAATAAGCTACTGCAGCAACACAAAGAATAATAACAAGTTTACCAGACCATCCCCGGATCCATTATTTCTATGTTAACTTTTCAGTTAACATGGGACAAGCATTAAAGGAACAACACAACGGAGCAATCAGCGATAGAGGCTTTCAGATCTCAGGTTCTCCGCAATCTCAGTTTCCCATCGGTCCCCATTCTCAAGTAGCTTCTCTTTGTCATATAGAAGCTCCTGCACATAGTTGAACGTGAAAATATAACAAATAAGGAAAAAAAAAAAGGAAAGAAAAATAATCCCATTCAGTGTGCTATCAGATAGTAGTTTGAAAAATCAGAATGAAAGAGATGAAAATGAACCTCGTGCGTTTCCGTAGCAAATTCAAAGTTTGGCCCTTCAACAATGGCATCAACAGGGCATGCCTCTTGACAAAATCCGCAGTAGATGCACTTGGTCATGTCAATATCGTACCTGAAAAACTAGGCAATTCAGACAGGACAGAAAAAGGGAGGGGAGGGACAGTTTCTTTTTCTTTCTCCTTTTCTTTTCGTTGTTCTTTTTTTCTTGCCTTTTTTGTGTTCGCAGCTGTTTCTGTTTTTCTTTTTTCTTTTTTTTTTTTTTTATTTTTTTTTTTTTGTTGGGGGCGGGGGGTGGTGGGTGGGGAGGCAAGGAAGGTCGGTCACCTTGTTGTCCTGCGGCTGCCATCTTCTCTCTCTTCAGCTTCAATTGTGATTGCTTGTGCCGGACATATCTGATAAATTACATTCTTTAAGTTATACAAAGACTATACAGCTGCCAAACTAGTATAATGGAGTAAAGATGCAATAGTACCATTTACTAAAGACAGACTTGAAAGAAAGACACATTAAACCAAAGTTAATATTATGTTATAGGATAATATACTTATTCGATAAAACAAGTACTTGAACTTTTCGACAAAATGTACAGACTCGTCAATATATAACAAACAGCAAAAATTGCAAGACGGGTAGCTGAATATATAAGACGCTAGACACAATATGAGACCTAGTTTCTTCTCCTTTCGGATAGTACAGACCTCAGGTCTTGTTTGATCATGACTAGAGTTTCCATTAGAAGCCTTTAGCTGATGTTTACACACTATAACATCGACAAAATAACCATGTGCTACATAGAAATCTTATCCACGTAGTCTAGTTTTAAGCAAAAAGCAGGGAAGAAAATAGTCATGCTGCTACTTCAATCAGATATGAACTTCAAAGGACCATTGTCAATCTAAAAATTGTTGCCCTAAATTTTAAAAAGCTTACAGCTTCGCAAAGTTTGCAAGCAATGCAACGTTCCTCTCCAGTTGGATATCGTCGGAGTGCATGTTCACCACGGAAACGAGGACTCAATGGGCCCTTCTCGAATGGATAATTTATCTGCATTATGAAATTATGATCGTAATTACATCCCACATACGTCTTAGACAGACAATGACTTCAGAAGACACTTACAGTAACTTTTTTCTCAAAGAAGTATTTCAGTGTCAGACTTAGACCCCGAACCATTTCAGTGAGAAATAGTGTGTTGATGCTGCGTTCAAAAACTGCCATTGAAAATATCAGCAACCATTCACTTATACTACAGTAAAAGAAAAAGGAAAAAAAGAAAGAAAACTCAAGGCTTTCAAATGATTACTAGAACTCCAATCCTTGGAAATTTCCTTTGCAAGTTGTTCTCTTTCTTCATCATCTGCAATATTTGCACCAGAAGATCAAGTCTATGAATCAAGAAGTTTTTGCAAATTTACATGTGAGAAGCAGATATAGACTAACAATCACAACTAAAAATTCTATTAAAGGCAGTGACCTCAAACTGAAAAATCTCTGTAAAGCTGTTCGCTGCTCATTCTCTTGCTATAAGAATGCATAAATCATTTGCACAGCATGAATAGAATAATGACAAACCTTTTTTGGTAGAGTATGAATAAGCGCTTAATCGCAAGCCATAACTTTGGGGACCTTGCAACCCTTGACCTGCCACAGCCTAAAAATGAAGAATAATGAGGATGAATGTATGATAAAATATTTAGCAGCCTACAACAACAACAACTCATATAAATGTATGAATATATTAATCCTGTAAATCTAGAAAAATTATTTAGGAGCATCAACAATAACAGTGATTCATTAAGTTACACTGGCCACATAAATGGAATAGAACCCTAAAGAAGAAGTACGAGTTTTGCCTA